CGAGACTACAGGTCAGTTTTGGAATATGTGTTCGCTTTCCTCAACTCGGGAGTTTTTACACTAATTATAGAAGTTTGTGTGTGAATTCGGGTAGGGTAGAAATGTGCAGAATTTTTATATTGTCACCAACACATGTAGTTGACCATCTGCAGATTTCCCGAAACTGTGAGAGCGATCACTATGAAGAAAATGTCGTACAAGAAATCATAAGGATTTCCCTCACAATTTTCATATTGTCATCAACCCATGTAGTTGCCCATATTTTCCCACACCACTTCTTCCTTTATGTGTTGGAGGAATATATGTTCACTTTCCTCAGCCGAGCTTAGATAGTTTCCTCACTAATTATAGACAAATTTGAATACAACTGTACAGAAACCAATGAAAATTCCGCGAAATTTCTATATCGTCACCAACACATGTAGTTGACCATGTGCATATTTTCTCCCCGCACTACTCCAAGTGTGATAATCGTGCTTATGGGGTTATTATGAGTCTATTGAGTTAGTTGTGGTGGCATCGTGATGAGGAAGACCCTGAGCTCCCCTGGGTTGAAATGATATCTGAGGAGGCGGAAAGTGGCAGTGGAGGACAGTAAGAATCGTATCGTTTTCCAATTGAGATTTTACAATGGAGTTTCACCTGTGATATGAAAAACACTAGTAAAAATACCTTTCACAGAGTATTATGCCGACTCACGTGAAACGGGTGAAACTCCGATGTATAGATGTTTGGTGGCCGGAACAGTGTTTAGTATTGGAGTAATTATGTTTGCTTTCCTCAGCTGAGCTCAGGAGTTTCCTTACTTAGCATAGAAGCTTATATGCAAATTCTGATGGAAGTGTACAGAAACCAATTGAGAATCCCCGGAAATTTCACATTGGCACCGACAATATGATTCAACATTTTATGAAACGTTGGCGAGTAGGACATGTTATCATGTCAATTAACTCATGTTGAAGATGGTGTGGTATTTTAATATATATTAATAACTTCAATTGAGCTCACTGATCAACCCGTCCGGAGTGTTATAATCATTTCAGATACAACATGCTAGAAGTCCAATCGTTGACTCTAGACCTGCCCCAGTCAGCACTGTATCAAGAGTTCCTCGAGGTGCGGTTGGTGAAGAGGGTAGACAGGGGTTGGCTTAAAACGGAGGAGGAAGATGAGATCTTGGGGTTTGGGTAGGGGTCAAATTGGATGTCTGCTGATATGAAATATATATTCGCTCTCCTCAGCTGAGCCCGGGGAGTTTCCAAAGCTAATTATATACGAATTCGAGTATAATGTTCTAATACCACTAACATTTCCCCGATTTTTTCAGAAATTTCCATATTGTCACCAGCACTGCTTTAGATACATCCACTTGAACCCGTTATATCCTTGGCTGACCGACGAGGAAAAAGAAAAGTGTTGAGAGTAGCGTTCACTGTAGTCTATGATGAGCGCATGCGTGCAGATGTCGGGAGAGTTTCACGTTGAAGACGCCGACGCAACTAAGGCGAGAGGAGGCCCTGAGGGAACAGGTTGCAGCTGAGAAGAGGCTCGTCCAGGAGAAGTAAGTGTCGTTGGAAAATATGCACATGGTTGACCACATGGGTTGGTGACAATATGGAAATTTTGAGGAAATTTCGGGGGGTTCTTGCACGGTCCTTGCCGAATTCGCATAGAAATTTCCATTCAAGGGAGGAAATTTCAGAGCTCAGTTGAGGAAAGCCATC